GGTTTTAAATTCTACCAAACAATCCATCAGAGGGATAAAGGTGAGTTGGATGATACAGTGATTCCTCACGTTGATGATTTAGACTTGCCAATTGTAGTGAGGAAGGGGTTAAAGTTGTACCATGTACCCAATTGGAAACTGTGTCATATGATAGTTTATTCGATTCTTATTGAGCTTTTGGTTCTATTGTTGATAGTGTTCATTTACCAGCCAAAATCCATGAAGCTCTAAGGCATTCCAGATAGAGAAAAGAAGTAAAAGACAAGATTGACGCGCTTAAAAAGAACGACACATGAACAGCGACAGATTCGCCTAGTGGAAAGTGAATGATGGGATGTAGGTAGATTTTTATGCTGAAGTATAAAGTAGATGGGAGTTTCAAAAGATTCAAGGCTAGACTTGTTGCCAGAGAATTCTCTCGATCCTTTGGGATTGACTATTAGGAGACATTTGCGCAGGTAGCTAAACTCAACATTATAAAAATCATCTTATCTCTAGCGGCCAATCTTGATTGGGGGTCTTCAGCACTTAGGACATCCAAAAGGTCTTGAATGATGTTTTGGAAGAACACGGATATTCCTCTTGGTTATAAATAGAACATTGATCCAACAAAAGTATGCAGATTTCAGAAGTCTCTTCACTGACTTGCTCGGTAGATTGCTCAACTCTTGTTTTTAGCCTTAAATATTCTCAATGCTAGTCAGATCATACTTTGTTCTTGAAGAAGAGATTAGAAACTCAGATTATTCTCTTAATAGTATGTGTTGACGATATCGTTCTCTTTGGAAATGATGAAACATAATTGCAGATATTGAAGAATCGCTTGGAAAAGAATTTGAGGTCCAAGATCTTGGGAATCTCCTCAAATATTTTCTAGTTATGGAGGTTGCTCAATCTCTTAAAGATATAGTTGTTTCCCGAAGAAAATATGTACTAAATCTTAAAGGAATGGACGTCCTGGGGTGCAAACAAAAAAAAGCTCCTTTGGACTCACAAAGGAACTTGGACTTAATCAAAAGATTGCACTAGTTGACTGGGGTAGATACCAACACCTTGTAGGACGTTTCATTTGTCTTTCTCAAACACATCCAGATATTAAATTCACAGTCAACATGGTTAGTTAATTTATGCACCGTCCTAATGAAGTGCATATGAAAGTTGTGTACAAAATTCTTAAATATTTGAAGATTACTTCAGGGGAAGGACTATTCTTTAGAAAAACCAAGGAGAGAAATGTTGAAGTGTATTCTGATATAGACTGTGTAGGTGATATTACAGATTGAAAATCTACCTCTGGTTATTGCTCTTTTATATGGGGCAATCTTGTAACTTGGAGAAGTAAAAAACTTGTTGCAAGTAGTAGTGTTGAGGTAGAATCGAGAGCTTTGTCTTGTGACATTTGTGAGGGTATATGGATTAAGAGAGTTCTAAGTGAAGTGAGAGAAAATGTTATACATCACCAATACAATATCTAGCTCAGTCGGATGTAGCTTGTTGGAATAGATCTCTCCCTTACCCTATTCCGATTCCTTGGTGTTAGTCATCCTTCTTGGCTAGATCTTGATTCAAGTTCTAATACCAATTTTGGTGGGGTCAAAAGCCTAACGGCGGTATTTTGTTGGTCTTTAAAGAAAATTGTACAAAAGGGTAAGCCTCAGCAGATATATAGGCTTGGCTTCTGGGACGATGAACTGTAAATACAATGGTGGTTGAACAAATTAACCACATTAACTAACTAATATATTAACTAATAACAAAGAAAAGCAACTAATAACAAACATAATAAAATTACCTGAGCTCGGCTTCAAATATAGCCTCGATAAACAAATCAAACTACTATCAACTTTGTTTTTTTTACATGCCTTTGTGTTTTGCTTTCATTTTTCTTAATGAAAGCAAAGGAGGAGTCATGATGGGTTCTTATACCACGAGGAACCATGTTCATCATGGTGAAACTACTGTTATTTCTTCTTTTTGGGGATGGATTATAGATGCAAAAACTTAAGCTATGAGGCAGAGGTGTGTTTAGTTTTTTTCAATATATTTCCTATAACACCCCAGTTATATAATACAAATGTTGGATATGCAATTAGTGTCCAGATTATTGTTTACAATCTAATCTCAAGAATAAAATTAGCATAGATTACATTGTTATTTCTTCTGATTTTTTGATATATCATTTGTGGCTGTCTTATTTATGATCTCATAAATTTGTACCAGATAAAAATTGTGCATATTTGTGATGCAACATTGACAAAGCGGCTAGTTGAGTTCGAGAATACAGAATCTGGGAGCTTAACGGTAACTGATTTGCTTTATGAAAGTCGATTACTATCATTGGTATATTGTTTAATACAAGCTATTAGAGATGCTGGCAATGGAATATTTATATTCATCACAAGTTCACTGAGAAGTGTTGTTTTACTGTAACAGAAGCTTGCTATCCTTTTGGCATAAAAGCTTGGATTCTTTGACTTTGTGTAGTTGAGGCTGCTTATATTGGATTGTGGTTGGGAAGAAACTGTTTTCTTTTTGTTGATAAAACTACGTTGTGGAGATTCTTGGTGCAACATATATAATTACTATTTCCCATTTCATGTCAATTTGAGTCTTACTTTTCCTATGTGGTCAAAACAGGATTCTCATCTCTCCTATGCCATTGAAATAGGTTTACTTATTTAGATTTATATTTACACTAAATGGATAGTGAATTATCTGTCAGAGAAAAAAAATGTATTTGTTGGAGTGTTGACATATTACCATAACCCATAAGCTTAAACTATTGGGTTGATTGGTGATTTTATATGGTGTCAGAGCATGAGATATTTAGTCCAAAGCCCTAAAATCTCATCTCTTCCCCAATTAATATTGATTTCCACTTGTTGGGCCTTTTATAAATTTTCAAGCTTATGTGTGAGGAGTGTAGGAGTATGGATACACTTAAGTTGATCCTAACTCATAAGTTTCAGCTTTTGTGTTGATTGGTGACTTAACTATTGCTAACTCAACATGATGAAATTTTTAATATGGATTTTTTGTTTGTAATATTTGTTATCCATACATGGAACATATGTTCTGATTTTTGTTCAAGCCCTTGCACATTGATCTTGAGGAATATCTTCCATCTGGAAATTCTAGTGTTTGAGAGAGAAGAATTTTAAAGTTGGTTGTATGCCATACATGTTTTTGCTGATGACTATATAATTTAAAATCACTAGTTTATATTCAAAGGGCGAAGATCTATCCTGCATGCTCCTTAATTTCAAACCAGGGAATAAACCTGAGTATTGATAATACTCCTTGATTATTTCCTTGTTTAGATGGAGGAATTTATTGTCATGGCAGACAAGGTCAAGGGAAGCAACTCTTCTACTGAGCGCACTGATGGGTCCAAAAATGGCTTGAATAAATCGGGTGATGAAGTACTTTGCGTGCATAAGAATGACTGCAAGAAGCCATATGCTCTTGGTCTTTGTAAAAGTTGTTATGATGATGTGAATCTTTCTTTCTTTCTTTTTCCTTTTTGTGCTGAAAATAAGTTATATGTAAATTGCACATTTTTAATCTCCAGGAAATTTGTGCAGTTTGTTGAGCTTTCTGGAGGACTCGATGGGGGATCAAATCCTCCAGCGTTTCAGTGTGCTGAGAGAGAGAGAATGGCAAAAACAATGGTTGAGGAAGGTGCTAATGACTCTATTGCTACTGGAAAACTTCCACGGGGGCTAAACCCATGCAACAATGTAATGTTTTCTTCAACAAAATTCTCCTTTTTTTCCTTTTCGTTTAGGTTTCTTACTAATTGGCATCATAAAAAGTTGTGATGATTTTCTTCGTTGTGAAGAGACATCGACAGAAATTAGCACTGTTTTGATCCATTCTAAACTCAAAATCAGGCAAATAATATTTTTGAAAAATTTGCTGGAAAATTTAATTTTTTGAGGCTAAGAACGTTTCAAAGTAGTGTCATTCACTCAAATTTGATAATTTCTTCCTTTTAAAGTTTATATCAATGTTAAGTGATCCAGGGAATGAGGTAAGTATTGAGGTAAGTCTTGAGGTGGCACGTAAAGGTCTAAGTGAGGCTTGAGATTCATAGTTGAATTGGTGGTGTATTTTGGGACTTGTCTGATTTCAGTCATCTGTCATGAATTTGTTGAGAGATGTCAATTGATCAAGTGATGGATTGTGTCACAGTTGCACTAAAAGAGAGTGGATTGTGCTGCTATTAAAAGTACACAAGAGGCAACATGTGTTATCAAGTAGTCTGCTAGTATGAGCTTGATAAGTGCCAAAAAAATGTTTTTTTTTTCTAATGCGACTGAGGGAGCAGTGGACTAGAAACTGAAGAGTAGCTAGTGAAATTTGGGGTATTATGCTAGAATTACATTAAACAAAATGAAATCTAGTACCAAGTTTCATAACTGTTTTTACTTTAGTTCTGATCTTCTAGTTGTGCATGTAATTTGTATCAGTGGTTATAGAAACAAGGTTCTTTGGTTAGATACAGAAATTGAGATTCTATTTTTATTTACTTTTGTTTTCTTCCCGTTATGTCTCTCTTTGATGTGTTTTTTTTTTATAGACTGATAAAGAATTGGGCGGTGCACATGCGGATGCATCAAAAACTGTTTCTTCTACAGAAGAAGCTGAAAGGAAGGGTAACATGCAAATCCTTTACTTTATGATGCATTAATGGTTGTTGGTTTTCAATTTGATTGATCTACGAGATTTATAAAAAGGATGGAAAACCCAAGCCAAATGAGCAGAAGACTTCTCCAATCAGACAAAAGTTAATCAAAGCTATATGTACTAAAAAGAGATGACAATTTACACCAAGAGATAGCTAAGGAAGTCATCAAGAATGGCTGTTGACTATCTCTATTATTCTTTTCTCGTTGTCTGAGTTGCATGATGATGTTTCAGGAGCTCAAAGAGGACTTGACGATGGTGCTTCTGATGAATCAGAAAATTGGTCTGATATTGATGATATTGAGGTTTCTTTCTTTCGTTCTTTCTTTTTTGCTAGTTCATTTCACTATGGATATTTGCATAAAAAGTTGGAAAGAAGTGTGCTATAAAATATTGTATTTTTTTCTAGAGGAATGATTCTGTCAATTGTGTCTACTCTAAGTGCATGTTTGGGAAAATTTAAACTTGCATTGACTCAATACCTAGCACCTGTGGTTGTTGGGATATTACAGGTTACTTTATACTTCAATTCTTCCGTTTGGATATCTGGCACATCTCTACTAAGATTTGTCTGCCACTTTACTCCTCAGTATAGTTAAAACGCAAGCCTGACTACATGGTCGGGTAATTATGAAAATTTTGGTTAACATTGAAGTTTATCTTGTGTGCGATGTCAAAGAATTTCACGAAAGTCTGTCATTCTTTCTTTAGGAGGTGCAGAAAAAATTCACCTTCATCTGGAGGAGCTTTATTGGTAAAATTTAACAAGTTTATCATGCCTACTTCTGCTGCTCTTCATACCTGTGCAGCATTCTTTTCTGTTTCTTTTTCTTTCCTTCAACTGATCTCCTCCCATACTAACCTCATTTCTCCCTCACATTTATTTTTCATTTAAGAAAAGGCAATTCACTAACGAGGTTTGTTAAAAAATCTGGACAATAAAGCATATTTACAAATGGGAATTCCACACAGAAATCGAAGTGAATGTCCTCATTTTCTCCATGTAAACATGTTGAACCTTTAGTAGTTATACCAATGCAATGCCTTTTTATTCATTTACTGTGAGCATACTGTTCCATTATGCTTATTCTTAGTTAAGCTTCTCAGAGCTTACTTTTTTAGTGAAGAAAAAAGATTTCATTGGTAAATGAAATAAAAGGAGTTGAGCACTCCTAGCCACCACCAAAAGGTGTATTACATAAAGATCCCCATTTAGTGATTAAAGACGAAAGACTATAATCAGAAAAGGTTGTGAACTAAAAATAACTATTTCTATGAAAGTGTCAAAATTGGAGAACAGTGTCTGAAAATTTGATAATTTATATTACTCTAAAGAGACCAAAAGAGCACCATGTTAAAAGCCAACCATAACAACTTGTTTGGACCATAAAACGAATGATGCACAAAAATCAAAGCTAAGAGATCAAACACATTGTTTGGTAAATCCAAACTCCAACCAAAAGCTTTTAAAGTAGAAGTCCAGTATCCATAAGCAGAAGAACAACCAAAGAGGTGTTCTGGAGTCTCATTGTTAGAAAAACACATAACACACCAAGAAGGAGATGAAGAACAATGTGGAATATTGTCGTTGTAGACAATCAACAGTACCAACACCTCCCTTGAAAAAATCTTTATTTTCTATGGATAATTATCTTTCCAAATAACAGAATAAGGTTGTTTGAAGTTGGACCAGTCACAGAAAATGCTTTATTGTATTTGGATAAACATCTTTCCAAATAACAAAGGTTGTTTGAAGTTGAACCACTAGGTTGAATTAAATCTGCCATTAAAGAACTAACAGGAATAGACTTTGAAGGGTCTTGAGGATAGAAGGTAAGAAAGATGAGTACATTTGAAAATTTCAGCTTCATTGAGATTCCCTCCAAAGGCTATCCCAAACAGCATGTGTTGGATTCATAAAGATGCAATATCATGCTACCTGTTTGATAATTTTTTTGTCGTGGTAAGGCAGGAGCTAATTTCTCACCATTTAACCATAAGTGTGCCAAAAAATTGTATGTAGCCCATTTCCAACCCTTTTTTTGAATGAGTACCAATGAGTGCAATGTTGAGACTAATGTGCTTCCAAGGAGACTTTGAAAAGCCCCCTTAAAATAAGAGATGGTCATAAACATTCAGCATTCGGTAAGTAATATGTAGCCACAATAAGTTGTCACCAAAGAGCATTTTTCTCATGTAGAAACTGCCATATCCATTTAGCCAAGAGAGCCTCGTTCCATTGTTTTAATTACCAATCCCAAGGCCTCTCTTAAGTTTGGAAAGTTGAGTTGTCTTCCAGTTTACATTGTGCATTCAAAATATTTTCTAACGAGTCACTTTTGAGGGAAGGTGGAACAACGAGAGGTAGTAGATTGGACAATTAGAGAGTGGTTTGAATAGGAGTATGCCTACCACCTTTAGATATACAGGTATATTTCCAATTGTGTAACTTGTGATGAATCTTCTCAGTGACATGCTTCCAAACAATTGAGCCTTTTCGATTCCCACCCCATGGACATATTTGCTTCCACTCCTAATGGCCTTTCCAGGGCATCGATGATTTTCACCTATGTTCCACTCTTTGCAATCCCTGGAAGCCGTACCCAGGTAAGATAGGTAGAAGGCCAGGATCCTATTTTGCAACCAAAAAATCCAGCTACTGTTTCCAAGTCCACTGGAGTATTAATGCCCAAAATTTCACTCCATCCAAACTTTTTTAATGATCGACCAATGCATGGATTTGTGTAGCTTTGGATCCCTGACAAAGGTTCCAAGGAATAAAAGAGTTTTAAAGCAGAACTTTTACGAGAAGCATTTAGTGTCTGCTCGTTGCTGTCTCTCTAACATCTTTATCCTTCCTCTGCTTTTGTTTTTGTCTTTTTTTTTTCCTCCTCTTTTTGTTGGCTTGTTTCCTTATTCTACAAGAATTGAATATTGAGTACCAACAAGCACTCTTGATTTTGGACACACTCGATTTTGAATATTTTTTCCTTGAGTAAAAAAATAAATAAAGAAACAAAAATGTTTTATCTGGTTGTCTATAATTGTTGAGTGAATAAAGAAGGGTGAAATAAGGGGTTTTCAACTTTGGAGCATGCTTCTTTACATGATTTATCATCTTGAATTTTTCAGTATTCTCTCTTGATTCTAGACTTGATGCATAACCCACTCAAACATCAATATGTTGCATAGGTTGACGGGTATCTTCACAATGAGGAAGAGAAGCATTACAAAAAGATAATTTGGGAAGAGATGAACCGGGAGTATCTTGAGGTACATATTTTCATTCTATTTCTTGGTTTTTAGACTTGAGAAAAGTTATCTGAGAAAAAAAGCTGCATAACTGGACTATGCGTGTTGTGCTATATTTATTGCCAATTATTCCTTATTGATAACTGAACTCTGTTATACTTTGTATAGGAACAAGCAGCTAAGGACGCAGCAGCTGCTGCTGCAAAGAATGCTTATGAGGCCAATTTTCAAAATTGTTCTGCAGATTTGAAGGCAGCAAAGGATCTTGCAGATGCTGCGGCAGCTGCTGTTGCAAAATCTAGAAAGGTTTCTTTAGTCTTTCTTTTGTATTTCACTTCTGCCATTCACTTATTTAGCTTTACACTTGATGAATTCTTTTAAGTTTTTTAATATAGTAGAGGACATTGCATCTTCTTTCTTTTGTAGTTTTTTTTTTTTTTTTTTTTTTTTTTTTTTTTTTTTTTTTTTTTTTTTTTTTTTTTTT